CTTCTGGGACAACTTGGAGAAGTTTAGAATGTTTGGACTTATTTTGAAAGTACTCTGAAAGATAAGGATGATCTATTTCAAGGCTGGGTGAACTGAAGGTCAGAGCTAAGGCATTGCACAACACAACCAAGCAGGTTCAGTGCAAAACCAGCACAGGATTTGATCAGCTGCCCCTACCTAAATTCAGGTCAAAGCCGAGGCCCTCACCAGGCCAAACGCTCTCATCGTTTGCCCCAAATATTGGTGGGGTGGTGTCAAGGAGGCGGAGGACACAAGTCCTTCCCTGCCAGAGCTCTGTTGGAAGAGCCTTCAGAAAAATCAAGTAAAACAGCTCTATTTCCGAGAAGATGCAATCGCTGCAGGACAAGCACGTTCTCACTAAGCTAACACACACGTCATCCCAGTCAAAGGCTGTTTTCTGACTGTATCTTGTAATGTTTCAGGCTATCTCTAGTTAGGACGAAGCTTGAATAGCTCTTGCTACATTAAACACAGGATGTGCCCAAGCTGCTCTTCCTACTGCAGGACTTCAGCGCAACACTCCCGTGTGGGCTTTGCACAGACAACGGATGGTCGTTCCCCCCCCCTGTCATGGAAAACTCCTCCCTGCTGCACGTAAAGGCTCCTCTTTCTTGAAAACATCATTTACTCTTGAAAAATGACTCCAAGAAACCATATACATCTGTGGCTTCCCATCAGGATGGAAGAAGAGTGTTTTTTGTCGACATGTCTCATGTTTCCCAGCATGCTCTCCTGTGCCTTGGCCAGAGCCCTCAGTATAACTTTCTGCTGAGTCAGGCTGCTGGTTTTCTTATCCCAAATCCCAAATGCGTGGTTTCAAGCACTCCAGACATTTTTCAAAGACAGTTTGAAACCCAGCCAAGCCCGCAGGGGGAGTAACTCTTCTCCTGACCGATTTGCAGTTGGGCTGGTTGTCTCCCAGGTCGGGCGAGCTGGGCTGCAGCTGGAGGGTGCTGTCACCATCCAAGGAGACAAACATCCCCGCTCCTCCCTGCCCCCAAATCAAGTGAACTTTGTGATTTTTTGCAGGAGTAAATGATTCCATTGGGGGTTATTTGACCACCAAAACTATGATGGCTTGGGTGAAGGGTTGAAGTGCAGAGGCCAATGCAAACACGTGTTTACAGACTTCAGCAGATGCAGCATCAGGCCCCCTCCCCAGCCCCAAAATCCCCACCAGCCAGTTTCACCCACTGCTCGGAAATTCACTCTTTTTCCAGGTCTTGCATTCCGATGTCCATCCACGACACAATAAAACAGAGTGAAGGCAAATGTGCAATGTAGAGATCCATTATGCTTTATTTACATGCGTCACCATCTCTTTTACAAACTAGATTACAAATTAAAATGGAATACACAAGGCAATATCTACTAACACCAAGTGGAGTAAGCACTGCGTCTCTACTTCGTTTGGAAAGGGGCAGGTTTTGCTCCAAAACAAACTTCCTTCCAACCTCTGTGTAGTAAGGTAGTATATTCCTCCAGGGCAGCATCATTTAATTATTTTTTTTTTTAATATAAAATCCTCAGTAAGACTGCAACATGAGAGTGTCTGCTTTCAAATGAAAGTACAAGATAGCCCAAATGAAAAGTATAAACTGTTCAGCTCTTCGGTATGTAAAGACGGCCATGCGTGATAAGGCTGTGGATTTAATATTCTTCCAATTTACATGGCTTGAAACAAAAACAGATAAAACAGTTTTACAGATACTGTATACATATTTTTTCCAATCATGCAACTTTTTTTAAAAAAAGTTAAACATGTGAAGCCAAATGTACAATCCATTTTTTCCAACCCATAGTAACAAAATGTATCTGGTCCCCCTTCGCATCTTTTGGCAATTCCTAATGTATATCATGTACTAGAAACAATTACAGGACACCGATTGCCAAGCAATGACATCATTTTAGAGAAATACATGACTTAAAAGGTAACTTTTTGAAGCGGTGGCACAAAAATTTCTGGAGTTAAGCAGTGGTCAACTATCCAATTACTCTCAAGATTATTTTTTTTTTACAAAATTATTAAATCAAGACCCAAACCTGTGACTAGGAACTGCATAAATCTCACCCCTTTGGACGTTTTGCTTAGACCAAGTGTTTAAATGATACCTATGTAATTGTTCTGGACCTTTATCTGTTTTACACTGTTTCAGAAGGAAAACTTCCAGGCATAAACATGTTCAGATTCATAGGCCAAAGTTTTCAAAAGGGAGGTTCCCAAAATTAGCCACTCAAGTCCGTATTTTGACACCTAACAAGCGGCCCTTTGAATTCAGCAAATTTAGCACCTCAGAAAAGGAGGGCGTTTGCTGGGCACCTCAGCAGGCACAGAGGGTGATGACCTTCCCCTGGGCCTGGGGGAGACCTTGCACCCCTCCTTCCTTCAAGAAATGAGGAGGGCAGAGCAGCCTCTCCCCTGCAACCAGGCTGGAGTCCCCGATATTCGGTGCCTGACACTGGGGACTTCCATTTGAAAACTTTGGCCATGAAGAAGAGCAACAGAAACCAAACCAAACCTGAAGAGGTTGGCCAAGTCCACCCCTCTTCAGTAAGTACTGGGATGTTCTCCAAAGCCAGGGCCCAAGGTGTCCTAGACACACCGACGGAAGTGCTTTCCTCGGCATTGCTGGGAGACAGGTTGAGCCTTTCAGCCACTAATGCTTTTACTTCTCTTTAAAAAAACTTCTCTGCCATCAACCAGCTGTCTCTGAATCTACTGTTTTTTCTCCATTCTCTGAGCAGAGCAGACCAGAGTCTTCTCTCTCATTTCTACCAGCACAAGCTAGCTCTGTGGGACTCAGGGGGGCTCGGCTGCTGTGGCAGAGCAGAAGTTTCCCCCGTTTGCTTTAAGCTCACGGGCCTTCCCTTGCCTTCAACAAGAACTGCATCTGTACTGAGGAAAAAAAAAAGAAAATGATGGATTTTGGTCACCTCCACCGTATCCTCAAGTCAGGCCTTACTGGTGCTGTCAGCGACCTGGTCGGTGGTCTTTGGGCTGGCATCCAGGTCTTACCGGAGGCTCACCTGTGCCGGGGTGAAATGCTGCACCCCAGCACGGGGAACCACTGAGTGAGCTCTGCTGGCAGCCAAAACCATGGGGCAGGGGGACAAGCCCAGCCACAGGGCAGCAGCCACAGAGGGGCCTCAGAGAAAAGAGCACTGGAGGGAAGTCCTTTGGCTTACACTCACATTTCGGGGTGTACCAGGAAGCAGAGAGCTAATTCTACGTGCTCAGAGGAGGCTGGCGATAAAGCTCTCCACCAATTTGGTAAAAAGTGCCTGCAACTGGACTCCGATAAGCAAAGCGACCGCTGGCCCAGGTGACTGCTGTGCCACACCAGCGTCCTGGGTAGCTGGCTGCTGACAGAGATGGGCAATGAGCATCAGATAACTCCAACAAAGTCAATAAACTAGTCCCCACGCTGACAAAGAGACCACCTCAGTGGAAAAAGAAAAGAGAAGTTTTTTTTTGAAAGGCAAACGATAAACCCTTGGCTGCTTGGAAGAGTTAATACGCTACAGGGCTACAACAACCACAACTGCACGGAGTCTACTCAGTCGTAACTGTGGGGAGAAACCACGAGGTGCATCTCCACGAGAGAACAGCGTGGGGGCTACGATACAAAACCAAAACTTCCATCACACTAGGAGCTGTTGTTTCACCAATATCACCTCAGGGACCTGGAAAGTAAGGGGCGAGGAAGGGCCCATGAATGCTTTTTAGTGTGTGTGTGTGTGTGTGTGTGTGCATGATTGTGCATGTGCGGTGGCAGTGGCGAGAGGGAGTCACTCCACATTGCATGGGACACGGGTTGGTGGGAACTCATGCACTGAGACTTTGGGTTAAAATGCTAGTTTTTTTTCCTAACATCCATGCATAATGATCCATTTCTGTACATAATAAAATATATTTATATATTTATATGCATAATGCTTTTATGCAAAGAAAAAAAACTTCATATATCGCCTTGGAGAATTATGCATACACTGTCCTATTCGGAACCTCTTCATACCGAGTTCCTATGTACCATTGGTGTTTTCCCCTCTTTTTTTGCATCCCTCCCCCCCAAGATACTAATAAAAAGTAATCAAACTTTCCAGATTATAGAGAGGATCTATACAGCACCATACCTTTTATTCATTATTATTATTAATTATTATTCATTTTACAAAAGAAAAATCTTAGAAGCAAAATATATAAAACTGCCTTGTCTCTCAGTGTCATTTATCCTGTTACAATCTATGCTCATATGAAAAGCCATTTGTATGATACTGTCACCTTGCCATTCCCTCTCCTGCTTCTTCTGCCATAACAGATTATACTTAATGAGAAGGAAAAAATAATCAAGGATGTGTCCAAAAGAAAAAAAAAAAAACGATCACTGATGCAGTAACACACCCTGCAATGACCTGTGCCTCAACTCCTGGTGTTGCCACTGCAAGTCACCTGCCGATGCCCAGCCTCTACGCTTAGCTTTTCTGCAAAGTGGTGCATTTCCCTCAATTTTTGCTTTATCAAACACATCTTTACAGGTGGCTGTGTTCAAATTGTCTGGCAGCTCAGCTTATAACTCCTTACCATCTCGCTGCAGCATGAGGGGCAGCCCTGCTAACATAAGGCAGGAGGGGAGCCCGCTCCAGCGGGCAGCAAACGGGCTCCTGCCTCCGTGTACGTGCAGGCGACGGCACCCGCCATCAGTCCATCCTCACGAGCCAAGAGGCAAACTCACCAGCTTCCCTTGTTTTGCAATCAACCCTGGTTTGACGCTTATGGAAAAACAGGGGTGTACCATTAAATTTAAGAAAAGAAATAAGAAAGAAACAAACAAACCAACCCAACAAACAAAGAGACTACACACATCGCCGCTCTCTGGAATTCAGCCGGTTGATCGGTAAAACGAATGCTGTATATTCGGAAAACCCTGACATCTGAGCAGTGCTGGGTTATGATCATTTCCTTGCACGTGTGCAGTGTTTCAGATTCCCCAGGGAGAGAAAGCAAAAATGGTCAAAAATCTAAGGAAATCAAACTGGAGGTTGTAGGGGGGAGGGTGGGCAGACAGGGAAAACCTCCAAAAAGAAAAGCCAACTTAAAACATCCCATAAACCATTAATATATTGAAACACCACATACTCATTGACAAGTAACTACTGTAAAGGCTACACAGTGTGTTTTCAACAGGATGGTGCTGAACATTGTCTCCACAGCAGGTGCTTGGCCATCCCAGAAAAGGAAGATTTTGCATACTTCAGGATGAGTTCAATTTCAAAAAAAAAAAAAGAGAAGAAAAAAAAGGAGGATCTTCACTCCAGTAACGGGCCTATTAACAGTCTGCTTCGTTAGGAAAATAACGCAGGGTTCACAAAGGTAGTAAGCTGTAAACAGTATCACTGTCCACTTGCTGACAGCAGATTTGGCAAAGGGTTCTCTCTCTACATCTCGTGTCAGTTTGAGGGCCTGCAGAGGAAGAAGAAGAAAAGACAGTAAGGCTGCTGCATGTAGG